TATTAATTGATAACAGTTCGACCTCGTTCAAACATAGTACTAGAAATTATGTATTACTTGGATCTGCTGGTTTAGTAAATTAGTTTAAGTTTGAGTGTACGTTATAAATACATTTTCTTTAAGACTTAAAGTCAGCAGAAGTAGTAATTATACCTTATTATTAATAATAACATTTAACTGAAAATGTTCATAACAAGAAATTTTATTTGTTTAAAAGATTGAATCTGTTTTAGTTTCTTTTTACTGACATGTCATTTTAATATTATTTTACTAGCAAATACTCAAGAGATTTGTGATCAAATTAGTAGTAGTTAAGCCTTTATTACGTACGGCCTATATTCGATAAAGAGATAAATTAACACTCTAACCTATGTACATTTTTGGCTTTAATATAGTAAAGGCTAAACTATACTGTAATATTACTATCAATAAATAAACTAATATTGTTACTCTACGACCTAACGTCAGAATCTTTTAATATATGTTGTTGTACAAAATGTCTATTAAAATGTATTTACACCCACCTTTTGTTTAATTCCGTTGTAATGAAGTGCGCACGCATTTTCAGGACAGACAAAATTGAGTATTATTATAATTGATATTTAAGTGTTTTTACGGAATCACTTTACTAGTTTGAACATTTATTTCGTATTTATTCTGGTTATAACATAACAGATACACTCAGTACTTCAGTAGCTGAATCTGCTTTATTTTACGACGAAAACTGTGTAATATCGTAGGGAATCATCAAACGATCTAGTACGTTGTAGACTCGATGACTTTATATATTTTGTAAGTTAACTTTATAAATGAGAATTAAAAAGCATCTTATAAATTATGAAACTATTTCGATATGATAAATTAACATACAGTAAACAAAAACCTGCTAAACGAAATACATTGAATCATCAGTTTGCTTGTTTGAAGTTAAGCACATAGCTACACAATGGGCTAGCTGTGTTATGCCCACTACGGGTATCGAAACCCGGATTCTAGCGTTGTAATTTCATAGACATACCGCTGTGCCACCGGAGGGCTGAATCATCAATTAGGTACTCTCTCTGTTAACAAAAGTTTTTGCCGTAATCATGAAATATTTCATAAGGTTAATCCATCTTAGAAGACTTAGATTAGTCTTTAACCTATATACTAAATTTACAATACAAATATAATCTTCATACGTGTAAATATCGGGATTTAATTAAACTAACCATGAAATGAAGTGAGCCATTACATACGGTGTGATTAAGAAAAGCGTTTACATGCAATGGGATCGAATCCAGTCACCAACTATACTCACCCTTTCAACTGTTGAGGCATTATAATGTATCAGCCAATCCTATTATTTATTGGTAAAAGATAAGGCCAAGACTTGGCATTGGTTGGTTTTTCGTAACTGCCTTCCCTCTAGTTCATCACTTCAAAATTAGGAACGGCTAGCATATATAGCTCTTGAGTATGTTTGAGGGAAATTCAGCAAACAAACATGCTTAAAGAACGGTAACGTACTAAATTGTATTTTTATTATCTGTAGTATCTGAAGTTTCATAACAAGGCATTTTCTATTTATTTATTTTGCCACTAGGTGACCCAATAGCCGAAGAATCCCTATCCAGGTTTAGCAATTTTCTTGAGACTCAGGTAGCAACCAATAGGATATCCAGGGAAATGGAACAGACAGTTCTTGGTAAAAAATAAGATTGTTTTAACAAGAACAATAAATTAAAATGAATCAATAGTATTATAGCTTCGGTATTATTAATTAGGTAGCACCTGAATATTTATATGATGATAGTTTCTATTTTGGAAACTACAGTTCTTTTGTTAAAAAACAGTAATTGGAGATTGAGAAATAAATGCTTGTAAATTTAAACATCATCTATTGTCTCTTGATTTGCCCAATAACCTTTGAGTCATCATGATTTATCTAGTTTTGTCTTGTATAGTGTTATTTTCTATCACAAAAGAAGAATTTATTAATAAAAAAGTATTCTTTGTTTTAAAAATTACATATATATATTATATCTGATATAAAAAAACGAAGTGGATGGTTGGGTGATACATTCGATTTTCTTATAACAAAATTCAGTCTACACACATCATACATAAAGATTCATTAGCTGAAATTAAAAAGATAAATATTTTAGCTCGCCAAAAATTTTCTATCTAAGATATATGCCACAAAAAACTAATCATATTTTACTTTTATCGAAAACACGTCTGTAAATTTAATTGGGTGAAAAGGGTTTTGAAAGTATGCTTCTGTTGAAAGAGAGGGATCTAAACATTTAGTCTCCCTCGCTTGGCTAGCTGCATATCAAACGCTATGAACACCTTTTGGTTTGAAAAAAATTGGGTTAAGAAAAATTTGCCAATGGTATATATTTTAGTTTTATGAATAACTGTAATTATGCGAATTTAGTATCTGTATCAGGTGTGAAAAATGAGAAAAAATAATATTTCAATATGATGTTTTCTTCGTTCATTACGGAAAATAACCAGTGCTTACTAAACTATAATATAATATAACTAAAGTATAATAGGTCCAGTTTTGTTATTATGTTATTAACCTGGTAAAGTCAAGTGATTCTCAGAAACAGAGATCATATAATGGTTGTGTTAAAGATCATCAATGACTTGCAAGTAAAATATCTACGTTTTTATTGTAAGTATACAGAAAAATAAAACATGGCATAACAATTGGATTTAGATTGCTAATTGATATAATAGTAAATTTAATTCATTGATTCATATACATATTTTTAGTTTTGCTATTCTAATTTCCACCAATTCATTCATTTTATTTGAGAAAAGTAACACATTTTTTGATGTTATATAACTTATTTTATTAATTTAATTGGATTAGCTGTTGTACTTTAAATTAAAACAGGTTGTATATACTTTTGGATACGCCATGTTTCAGGCAATCAGACGACCAGCTTTTTAAAAATAGGAATCACTGTATAAAACAGTTATTATATTTTTGCATACATTTCCAAGTATAAGTTGTGGAAGTTCAATTACTTTTTTTGTATATAAATTTCTATTTATTCAAATGTGTATTCTATTTAATATCTTGTTTTGATGTTTAAATTTATAATTTAGACATTGTGTCAACCGCTTTGGTCGATAGTTTGCGGGAATACTCGGGATCGGCCTACAGTGACCACAGTTTTCCGTATACTAACTCTATGGTTAATCAACAGAAGGAAATGAAATACAACTTCAAAGCAGAAAATCCTGCTGAGATAATGAAAAACCGTTCACAATTAGCCGGTAAGGTTTTAACAAAATTAACAATTTATCTATCTTTACACACAATACTTTACACCTAATAGAAATATTTATAAATACTTTCATATATGTGAGAGCCAATAGAATAAATACAGTGAAAAGTACAATGAATTTCCACGTTTCAAAATTGAAAAAGACGTTACTATACAGTAGTGGGTAATCACTACTGCTGTAAAATTTTATTTAGATATATTTATGACACATCAAAAGCCACGTATTTTATGTGAAGAAGCTGTTAGCAAAATTTCGTGGGTTCTTATCTTTCATTGAGATATGTATTTTGTCTTCTAGGAAAGGCTACCTCGGGCAAAGTTCCAATCCAAAGCCAAGAGGAAACTAACAAGAATACTGATACACGTTAAAGTTTTTGCTCCTAATGTAAGTATGGACGAACCGCACGGACCTTAACAAACATTATAGTCCCACTTAAATTCTTACTAAATTTGAAACGTTTATTTTTCAAGTACTCTAACTACAAAGTAAATTAATAATTTATTTCGATGTTATAGCAAAGTATCTATATGAATATTCTATATACACAGAATGTTTGCCATTGCATTGGAATATTCCTAAAACCTCTACAAAGTATTTTTTCTTATAGTAGGTATGTAAAATGTTGATAATAGATAATTAAATAACGTTTTGCATTAAACCTTGATAACGCTATGACATATTATGAAAGGAACGTAGAAATGAAAATATATTTAATCACAGAGACAATCTCATTATAATGGAGTTTGCGATGTATACGTCCAAAACTCGGATCTGGGAAACTACCGCACTGATCATCACGAATCATAACTGGGTAATATTTTTATAATTAGGCAGTATTTTTGTAGTTGAGCAATAAACAAAACAATTGTAATTTCCACAAAAATGATATGTTTCAGATTTAACCAATAACAATTATAAACAAAAAGGAATAAGTTTCAGATTTAACCATTAACAATTACAAACAAAAAGGAATAAGTTTCAGATTTAACCATTAACAATTACAAATAAAAAGGAATAAGTTTCAGATTTAACCATTAACAATTACAAATAAAAAGGAATAAGTTTCAGATTTAACCATTAACAATTACAAATAAAAAGGAATAAGTTTCAGATTTAACCATTAACAATTACAAATAAAAAGGAATAAGTTTCAGATTTAACCAATAGAAATTACAAAAAAGGAGTAAGTTTCAAATATAAAACAATCAAAAACAACCTTAAAAAAATATTTTTCTTTAGTGAAGATCTCATGAGTGTTGCAACAGAAAAGCAAAACACTTTCATTGATAACTGTGTCTACAAAGAATTACTTCAATAAAATCGACTCTGTGATGTAATGCTGTGATGATAGTTCATTTATAAACTAAAA